ACATTCTTTAACTGGAAGTCGTGACTGGAAATGAATATCGTTTAAACAAAAATCCGAGTAAATTTAAATTTACTTTATTACATAATATAGTTCACGTTACTTCCTATAATTTGGGTAGTATAGCATTTAAATGTAAATATTATTATTCATTATACTTTGAGTGTGAAAAAAACGATTAGAGGATATTCTAGTTTATGGTTGTGGTAATGGCAATATATCTTTACTAGGGAAGCCGTTTGTCTAATGACATTTTTGATTTGTTAACTGTTGAAAATGAAGAGTCTAAAATATATAAAGAAAATGTACGTTAATATAATAGTGCGATGTCATTTGTATCTTTTGGTTCTCGTATAATATTTTCTTAGGGATAAGATCCTTATTATTTTAAAATACATGGTGATATATATCATTGTATTAGCTCCCTTTATCCTAGCTCTAACCAATATATGAAATATAATCAATTACATATATTAGATTTTGCTAATTATAATTATTTATTTATTAATTAATTAATTAAATTAATAAACAATCTTATTTTTTTACTGTAACCAGGCATCGACGAGTAATTTAGCTAATTATTTTATAAAAGACATATCCTTAATCTTCTATGAATATCGTCGAAGGACGGCTGGTGTTAATCGCATTTTGATAAATACATAAATTACAAATGACATAATTTAAAATAACATTAAAATACAATCAATTTAACTATTTTTTGTCAATGACGTAAACGACGAAAAAATCTGGATTATATATTTTAATTTATAGTTGTTTCGTTTCGATTACGTTTTAGATTATTTTTATGGTTATTTAAATGAGTCTATCTATAATTTTGAAAGTTGAAAAAATAAAAGTAATGCCATCAAAAGAAATCGGATAAAAATATTTCGTCTACACGAATGAATTTTAATTATTTTATCTTCATGTTTGAAAAAATTACAGTTGTTAGGCATCTTTAGTTTGTACATAGGTAGTTTGTACACAGTTATTTTTTATGAGAGAATGTTCAGCGTGATCGAGTAGATATCATTATTATGTATACTTTTGCAGTTTATATTAATTATATTGCATCACATATGTAGATCGCGAATATTTTTTCATTAACTATGAACATTTATTTATTATTTTGTTTTCAAGTGTTATTATAATAATATAAATAATATATTAAATATAGTTTATAAATATTTTATGAATAGGTACAGTAGATAGTGCACATTAGACATTGTACGTTTCATCGATTATCGATTTATCAGTTGTATCGTTGTATAATGTACTCGGATTTTTGTAACTGGAACATGTAAATTCGTGGAAAATGTCATAAAATATATATATAATCTCACTAATAGGTATTTAATTTTATATTTATTCAACGAAAAAAAAGCGTGTACATTGCTTTATCCAGAGGAGTAATAATTGCTCATTCTTTATATTCTTTCAAAAAATGTTAATTTATCCATTAGTCAAGTTTAATATTCTATTTCAAACATTTATGTGAAATACGTTGCTCTACCCTAATATCAATATAATATAATTGTTATAAAGTTATTTTCATATTTTCCATTTGATTAGATTTTCCGAAAAATTATTAGTGTAGATTTGAGAAAACAACTATGAATTCTGCTAAACTGTAATAAAATAATAATTTTAACAATAATTACAATATCAAATTAATCGGCACAATGTATTCGTATTTTAGCGACCAAAGGACGTGAATTCATCGAAAATTCCATAAAGAAATTTATAATCTGACCTTTTGTTACTTCATTTATCATATTTATTAAATGAACAAAATATTTGCACATTGTATGAAGTGTAGTGGATGACACTTTGAAATAACTGCCCATTTCTTGATTTATCTTCAACGTTTTGGTTGATTCGATAGTCAAGTTCAAATACATTATGTAAAATATATTTTTTTTCATATGTTGTTCTGCTGAAATGTTATAATAATTGTAATGTTACAGACACATTTTATGTTGTACCAGATTTTCCGAGAGATAAAAATGATAGAATTGCGAAAACAAACCGATAGTCGTATTTAAAAAATAACTCGTAAAAAAACAAAAAAAACAAAACCCGTAAATTCTGTTAATTGCCGTAAATGAATAATTTTAACAATATTCGTTTGATATTGAATACACAAATTATATTATAAGGAGTTTAGGGTAGACAATACTACATTCAGCTACGCACGGTGTACGTGAGCACGTGCACTGTGCGTAATACATTAACATGTCATAAGGTTCATGCGCGCGCGGTACACGAGTGGGTCATGAATGTAGTTAAATGTCGTTTAATGTTTTACAGAAGACCAATGTGAATGAAAAATATTGATTTTAACAAAACCAATGGAACTCGATTGATAAAATAATGTCGACCGAGAACTATATTAAGAATGCGCTCGATGTTTACTATTAAATATTGTAGATACTTCCGTGATGACGACTCGGGTATAGGACGTGAAGAGAAGTTAGATAATGTTTTCTATTCGTTTTTCTAAACGTCTTACTACGATGAATAAAAAATAAAATCGTAAAAATCGAATAAGTTAATTTAATTATTTTATTGGTAATCGTGATGTCGGTAGAAGGATCACGGGTTAGGCAATACATATGGCATCGAAGGGATCTTAATATTCGAAATTTAATAGAAATCAGTGGTTGCGCCGCGCCGGAATCGCCGAATGCAACACCTTGAACAGGTAAAATGTTCACGTACATCCGAACGGAAATTTTGCACGCGATTTATTCCTGAAACGGGGGTTGTTTTTATTCCCCTCGACCTATTCAACCGATCAACGGAAAGCTCTGCAGTGGTTTTAGAGCGCGTCCTATTAGTCTTATGGAAAAATCTAGAAGTTATTTGAACTGGATTGGCAATATTCAACGGTCCAACCGTCGGAATCGTAAAAGGAAAAGCGCATTATTGCAGCGCGCACTCGGATTTCGCCATTAGATTGTCACAGCATACTAACGCTACAACCGATCGCAATTCGTTTCGTCCACCAGCCAATCCTTTCGTTATGGCCGCGACACCGCCACGCGACTGTTTGCGCACCGAGGGTGACGCCAGCAGGGCTGTATCAAGGGGGTGGCGAGAGGTGCCTACGCTTCGGGCGCAATTTCTGCGAGAGCGCAAAAATTAAAATCTTGCATTTAATTTTAAAAATTACAACGATTAATGTCGTATATTTTGTTTACAAAATCTTAAACATCCTTGATATTAATTAAAGCAATCATTGAAAATAATATCTTATTATCGTTATATTTTTAAATTAAAAATACATAAGGGCGCATTTTGAAGTTTCGCCCCTGGCGCAATGTTTGGTAAATACGGCATAGGTCGCCGCACAGAGGTTTGAAACATTAATTTAGACGGCAAAACCCCATGTTTGAAATGTTAATTTTTCCATATTTTTTTTTTATACGATGTATTAATAGACATCCTAAGGAACCTTAATACGGAGTTCGAAGTTCCTATTTATAAATCAACGGGACTTATAACATTTTTTTTTCTTAACGTTTTTTATGGTAAAATCGCTATTTTATCGAAATATTTACTTTTTTCATAAATTTTTTTTGTCAATTCAATATTAATTTTTAAATATTTTAATTCAATTCATTTGAAGTTCAATTTCTTTAAAATAAGCGACAAATATAGTTATGCGCATTTTAATTTTTTTTTTTTCGTGCACTTAAAAGAGATTTTTTAATTTTTTTTTTTTGTTTTTTAACTTCGATAGATTGTTGTTAAAAATTACTCAAATTTACCGTATATTCGATGCATATAACATGTTTAGAAAAAACTCAACTATTCAAAAATATAAATTTTGTTCGCATCTGTGCACACACTTAGAGCACAGAAATTATTTACTTCTAACAAAACTTAGTTCGCGGTTAAATACTAAAAAAGATTTGCTCAATATGGTAGTCTCATCCGATCCTTATACCAATTCGATAAGAAATTTACCGGAAAAGGATATAGAAACCTTAACTGACACTGTAAGATCTTTTCTTGTATTACATGGGTCCTCGAAAAATTATAATTTAAATCAATCATTTTCAGATATAGAATTAAACGATTTAGAAGTAATTAACTAGTTATTACTTGTATTTTTTTTTTTTTTTTTTTTTATATAATAACCAAGTTTTGTTAGAAGTAAATAATTACTGTGCTCTAAGCGTGTGCACGGACGCAAACAAAATGTATATTTTTGAAAAGCTGAGATCTTTCTTAACACGTTATGTGCATCGAGTATACGGTAAAGTTGAGTAATTTTTAACAGCAGTCTATCGAAGTTAAAAAACAATAAAAAAATTAAAAAATGTCTTGAAAAAAGAGTATGAATAAAAAAAAAAATTAAAATGCGCATAACTATATTTGTCGCTTATTTTAAAGAGCTTGAACTTCAAATGAATCGCGTTAAAATGTTCGAAAAATAAATATTAAACGGAGCGGGAAAATGCACGAAGAAAAGTAAAAAGGCAGTCAAGTAAAGCGGCGACGTCAAATCTCACCACAAAAACGATCGGTTCGCGTTAACAATCGGTCGACGGTCGGATTTTTCCGACGCAGCTACGGACCGTTTTGTTCGTCGTTTTTCTCCTGTCGCGCGGGGACCGGTACCGAACACACCGTTTGGCACCACCGCGATCGCAACTGGTTCGGCGTTTTTCGGTCGACCACGGACGGGCACGCCGGTCATCGGTCGCGCGACCGGCCGAGAGGTTTCCGGTCCCCGTCGACGGTGCACGCGCGAACGGCCGCGCGGGCTCGTGTATCCGATGTCGCGCGCGTGTATCCGTTGTCGCGCCCGTGTATCGGTTGCCGCGCGCGTGTATTCGTGCGTGCGTGCGCGTATTCGTGCGTGCGCGTGCGCGCAGTCGTGTATTCTTGCGCGTGTGCGTGCATGTTTCCCGTGTTCTCGTGTGCGTGTGTGCGTGCGTGTTCGCTCTCTCCCGTTCGTGGTCGTTCGCCGATAGGTGCGTGCCTTCGCGCAACCGGTGGTGGGATCGGACCACACAACCGTTCCCCGACCACGTACGACCAGGCCCCTATAAAAGGGCAACTCTGACCACCGAGATCTTCAGTGTTAACTCACTTACCTTTACCAGTCCGCGTCTTTACCGACCCGTCTCCCGTGCCCACTCTGCGGCCGCTGTCTATCCGACTTGTCGTTACACTCCGTCCCCGGACGGATTGTATTTTTTCCTCGCGTTCCCCGATCCGACTTCTGAGTCTCGTCGAGAACAAACACTTCGGTGTTTTTCGTGCTCCGAGACTCTCGAGTTGCTCCGGTTTCTCGGCTATCCCGATTTTTTTTTTTTCGGCCTTTTCGATTTATTTCGACTTGTTGCCAAATTTTTTCGACTCTTTTTCGATTTTTCACATAATCACCGATTTTTGCCCTTTACATTTTTCCAACACGATTTTCGTGTTCCGTCTCTAACACTTGTCGCTTTTGCTACCTGGCCAACTTCGACAAGATGCTCCGAAACATGCTGCTGATGTTCATCTTCGCCGCCTTCGTCGCAACGTCTTCTCAGGTGTCTTGTAAGTATACGCATGTTTAATTTTTTTTTTCTCTTAAAATTTGTTATTACTTTTTTTGTCGACTTTAATTCGACTTTTTTCTTTATTTCAAATTAATTTAAGTGTTTATTTTTAACTTAAAAACTATTATAAAACTTTAGTTGTAAAAAAACAGTTAGTAATCATTTTTGCAAAGTACCTATTGTTATTGTTTACTTTTTTCTGAAAATTATAATTCTTTCGCGTTTGGGATGTATACTCGGGTTTTGGACAAATAATTTGATTAACATAACAATCTTTAACTTTCATTTACTTCTCGTGTTTTTTCTTGTCGAATTTTTATTCGCTGTTAAAAGGGCGTTATTTAGGCGTTGGCGATCAATTAATTTTTTTTTTATTTAATTAATTCGTCCTAAATAGTTTCGATCATATAAAATTAATAAAAACTCAATATCGTTTGTGAGGCATGGTCTTCTTAATAAATATCTTGCGTAATATTATGTATTTTCAAATTATATTTTTACAATATTGTCGTTGATTTTAATTCATATTTTATTATATGCCGCGCGAATTCGAATTTATCGATTTGAAAATGTGCCATCAACATTTATTGTTACCGAGTATGGATTGAAATCAATTTGAAATATAAATAACATGCGTTTAAATAATTAAATAACTCTATAATCTGTTGCGATTTGATCTGTATATTGTATCGACGCGTAATTACTTTTTCCGATATTATACCATCAATTTAATAAAATTTGATCAACAGTTTTTTTTTTTTTTATCAAAAATATGTGATATTACTTGTATAACATAATATTTTAATAAAATATAATAAATACATTTTTTACTTATATCGTATCAACTAATCGGGTAAATACATTTTTAAGCTATTCGGTTTTTTAGTATCATTAAAAATATTTACTCGATTAATAGAAAACGAAATTTCAAGTTCATAATTTTTTTTAATAAACTTATTATTTTATACAAGTATAATATTTAAATATTTTTAGTAGGTAAGAAAAATACTGTTGAATATTTACTATCTAAATTATGGTATAATATCGGGAAAAAAAATTTGGACCACAAACCCAAGACGCACCATTACGATGTGTTAATCACATTACAATAGATTTTAGTAATTATTAATTATTTAATGTGCCTATTATTTATTTTTAAAATAAATTCACGTCCTCGTTCTGTAACAACACATTTTAATTACACATTTTCAAGACGATAAATTCGAGTTCTCACGGTGTACAAAAATAATGATCATATTGAAAACAAACGATAATACTGTAAGTGTATAATTTGTTTTAATAATTATTATATTTATAATATAATTATAAACGTAAACTTAATAACGTTTTTAAATTGTTTGATTATGATTTTTTTTTTCAAACGAAATTAGTAAATATTTTTTTTGCCATCGTACTTCCTGAGTATTGCCTTTTAATTTAAAAACCGTTATTTTTAGTGGGCACTCTGTTGCTTGTATACTTACTGTTTGTCGCGCATTTCGTATATATATATTTAGTATTGGTAAGAAACATTTATCATTATTACGTACACAACGTTAGTTTGTTTGGATTCATAAACGCACCGCTATTCATTGCGCGAGTTCGCGGACCAAGCGCGCTTAATTGTGAAATGTTCATGGGCATGTTCACAGGCTTGGAAAGGCCTGGGTTTAAGTATTTCGATTTTTCGTATCTCGTAAAAATAACGCGTGACTAAGCGATGAAAAATAAATGATTTGGATATTCAATTCAACTAACCGTTCGTTAACGACGTGCTCGGCGAACAATTATTAAAACGATAACCCGTGTACTCGATTGCGGTGAACACTCGTACACTCGATTCGAGGATATCCCGACCACTATGTGTACACCGATCGCGTAGACACCACCGACTTTGTTAACGAACGTCTTCGTATAGCACGTGAATGATATCTTGTATGCGTGTACCGCAGTGCAGGTGTCATGACGGGTACGACGGTCGTCGGTTGATTTTCGAATGCGTATCACGGAGCATCTGTGTACAAACCCTTTATCGGTAATTGCCTTTCGGGATTTACAATATTATAATCGTGCCGTATCGTTCTTGTTATCACTATTATTATGCAAATTCGTGGTCGTTGCGGCGCAGTTTGATCTTGTCGCGCCTGGGAGTGTGTGCGCGCGTACGTACACGTACACGTACGAACCGCGTGTGTGCGTGTAGTCGAGATGGTTTATTGAAAGGAAGACGATGTTGGAGTTTAGGGGGTAGTAGATAGGTGGGCGGGGGTGGTGATGGTCTGTGGTATGCGGCGGCAACCGTCAAGGTCGGTGTTGCGGCGAGAGAATAGTTTCTCACTCGTGTACGCGCGTGGGTGTGCGCGTGCACGGTGTACACAAGCGTACGATGGATGTGCGCGCACGAAGCACAGTGACGAACCGACCCGTGACACCCTTCCGTGCACGCCTTTCTCTCGTTCATAATCACCCGCTACGTCAACGGAACACGCGCGCGTACACGCACGGTCCGCGCGCCAGGGGCAATCGGAAACGAACAACGAACGCGCACGGCCCTCTGTCTCTGTCTCTCTGTCTCTCTCTCTCTCTCACTCTCTCTCTCTCCCGTCGACACCACATTTCCGTTTCGCTGTCCGCGCCCCGTTCGATTTGAACCCAATCGAAAACGATCGTTAACGCCGTTTTCGCAGGGGTTAGTCCGTACGCGCGTACTTTTTCCCTCGTCCGCGGTAACAGCGGTACTCGTAAACGGTAATAACACGTCTCGTACAAGAACGCGCGGTACACACAAACTTCCCCCTCGACCCGACGGCGGTTTTGTTCTTTTTTGTGTTTACGTTTCCGTACCTAATCGTCCCGCGGTTTTCCACCGTCGGCGGGCCGTCGTCGTCGCGGGTGACTGCGGCGGAACGTCCGTGTACACCGGTCGTTACCGGAACGTTACTCTTATCGTTACAATACGCGTTTTACTACGTACACATTATTTATTTATATATATGTTATACGTTACAATACGAACGCACGCACACTCGCGCACGTCATGTGAACTCGTCGTGGCTACACCGTGCTCTCCTTTACACTCCGTCACTGTCACCTACGCGCGTGTATTATACAGCGTACACGTATTACGTCTGTGGTGCGTGTTGGTATTTTTTTATTTTTTTTTTTTCAAACACGAGTTCTCTCGGTCGTTGCATTCGTCGTTGTCATCGCACGGTCATACGACGATGTGGAACGGGGTGGGAAGCACGGCGCGTTAAGGTTCACCTGTGTTTCCGGTACATATTTCACATACGATTTCTACGCGAGCATATCGTCGCTACATAACAATAATAATAATAAATAATAACAATAATATGATCACAGAAGTATTTCGAATACGCACCGTTACCGATAATCCGTCTGAAACGCAACGATTCACGTTGATATTACGACGTTATTGTCCGTTTCTGATGTACAATATTTTCGTTTCGATTATCGTTGGTTTTGTACGATTTCGTCAACACGCTCATACATCGCGGATTTCGTTTGATTTACATTTTTTTTAATTTTTTTTATTTCCGATCGTCGATAATGCCATTGTCGTTTCATCTCGTCAACGCTTCAATATCATTACCGATTTCTAATATTTTCATTTTATATGATTTCATTAATACATTTATACATCGCGGATTACGTTTGATTTACATTTATTTTTTTATTTCTGATCGTCGATATTGCGATTGTTGTTTCACCTCGTCAATGCTTCAATATCAATATCAATTTCTAATATCAAACCTTTCATTACCGTTATCACTAGTTTTCAATAATTTCGTTATAACATTTATAAATCGTGTATTGCATTTGATTTACACTTTTTCCCCGGTTCATCGATTGAGCATTTTCATTTTTGATTCACTTCATCAATATTTTAACATCTCATTAATCATTACCCTTACTTAACATTTAGCCATTATCACTGGTTTATATATATAATTTCATTAACAAACTTATACTTCGCGAATCGCATTTGATTTACATTTATTTTTGATTCGTCAGTTCAGAAATGTGATTGCTGTTTCACTTCGTCAATACCATTTACATTACGCGTTATTAAATCGTTTTTTTAACGTTTTTATAAAATCTAACTACTTATTCGTGGCGGATTACGTACCGATTTATATATATTTTTTCCCTCTCGTCAAATATACGTAAATAATTAGCCGAACCATAATTCTGTCCGCCGGTATGGATGACCCGTACTCGTGTTTACGACGCGTCAGCTTTTGTCATATTCGCACAAAAATGTATTTTCGCGAAACAAAACAAAAGCACCGACGCCGGAAATACGGTTCCGGTTTCCCCGCGTACCGGTCCCGCTGTCCGTTGCCGCCGCCGCCGCCGATCGTGCGTATAATGCAATTAACGTCGTGTCGTCCGGACGGTTCGTTTTCATTGTTTGCGTTGTTGTTTAAATTATCGAACGATCTCGTTACGTCCGAACGCCCACGTACGTGTGTGCGTCAAACGAGTCGTCGTGCGCGCGTGTTTTCGAACGACGATCGAAGATACTTCCGATCTAATGGCCCCGCCCCGCCACCTTCTTCTTAGGTGCAGGTCGACGGTGACGGATCTGCTCCGCACCGACATCGACCGGCTTATCCGCTTACCATGGTACCGCCGAGACGTTACCATTAACACGTTCGTATTGCATACGCACCGTTGTCGCCATACCGTTCACCCGTCGTCTGTCGTCCGTCGTCCGATCAGCATTTATTGTCGAGTGTACGGTAAACCGTGGCCGCACAACACGCGCAGCGTACACGGACGTTTTTCCCGTGCTCCGATGTCGTACGAAGCGCGTGCGCGTGCAACGTAACGCGTGGATCGGTTTAAGGGACGGCCGTCGCTTTTGCCCGCATCGATCGACTTTCAATTGTTGTCGATCGCACAGGGACTAAAATTGTGTGCAGTACGACACACTTTGCGCAATTCGAAATGTTAAGTGCGTAGCACGAAATG